CCCATTACTGTTGCCCCTATACCAGGGGCAACTTTAATAAAAATAATTAAAATAATTACAACTTTACAAAAAGAGAGAAGTTGCCGATCTTGCCCCTATACCCGGGGCAACTTCGTCAATTTCTCTCTTCTTGTAAAGTTGTAATTATTTTAATTATTTTTATTCCCAAACTGATTTTAACCAGTTCTATAGTAAGAAAACATTCCAATAGACAATATGCAAAGCTTTTTTTCAGTTTACAGCAGTATTTATTACACAAAATTTAAGTAAAGCTTAACATGCCGATCTTGCCCCGGTCTCCCCTATATAGACTAATAGTGAATTAGAATATAAAAGAATAGTATAAACTGGAACTTCCAGTTCATGTTTTCGTGTTACTATTGCTTATGCTATGTTCTTATTTCTATACATATATTTATGCATTTATAGATATCACTAGGTTTATTCCAGTGCTTAACCACAACCAGATTCGAGTCATTACTGCTCGAAAACCACTCTCGAAATTCGAAATTTCTTGAGGAATACTCGATCCAAAATTATTCTTCTAATATCAAATGTGTCACAGAGTTAAAATGAATTGACAATAAATAAATGAAAATTAACAATATAAATCAAATTATTCCGTATAAAAATATCTCTCAGCAGGAGAGGGCCAGACGTTCGGATCTCCGATAGGAACGAAGCTTGGTGAGCATGTAGCCCTAAATACAAAAACTTCTTGCCCAAATAATAAGACCTACTTCTCAAGCGTTTCCGGAAAACGGCCCTCTGAAAATTTATTGTTTGGCTTATAAGTGTTTGCAAGATTCTCCTCATAAGGGCAATTGCTGAAAGATGCTGAGCACTGGTGTTATACGATGTATGTTCAATCCTTTTCCGTTTTCGATTTTTTTTTATACGTAACAAAATTATTTTATTATTTTACCATATCATTAGCATTATTATTACTATTATTATTCCTCACGCGTAAAACTTATAAAACGTGTTTTAAAAAAGTGACATCATTCCCTTTTTAGCGAAAACGAAGTACCTGGAGATCTAACTCGTGTATGTCATTAAATAAACATTTTATTTCTTCATATTTATTTTCTGTATTTTCAGAAACGCTATTATAATTATTATTATGATGAATTTTACTTAGAACTGATTTCCGAATGGAATTCATCATAATTCTGAGAGTATATACTGTGGGGTCGAAGCCATCAAAAATTAAATTACGCAAGTTTATGGTAGGGTCCTGCCACCAGGTGTGTTTTGTCGAACACACCTCCGATTTAGACAAAAAAAAAAAAGAAAAAAACAAATAGTTAAGACGCGAGGGTAAGAGTCACTCCGAAGTCCAGGAATGAGCCTCTCAGGAAGATAAATGCAAAGTCAAATACAAGTGAAAAAGAAGTTTATTATCAAAAAGAAAAAAACAAAGTTCTGAACCAAGTTATAAAATCTGATTTAGGAAATTGGCCTATTCCTATCTATAAAACGGTAGTACCTAATGGGGGGTATCCGAACTGCGCGACTCGCAACATACCAGGAAAAGAGCTGTCTTCTCTTCTTGTTTCTTTTCTTGGTCCTTCACTAGGTTCTTTAATAGGTCGGTTGTCTTTTGTCTGGTCAATCTCTTGTCTAGTCAGTCCAGTCAGTCTCAATTCTCTTTCACTCTTCCAATTCTGTCCACTCTTTCAATTCTCTCTCACTCTGTCTCACTCTCTCTCCTAATTTTGTCACTTCTTTGTATTTTTCTTTGTTTTTTATTAATCATGCTTTAGTTCCAGAGGAAGGTGATGTAATTTATAAAATGCATGATTGGTCATCTAGTGGCCTCTTCCTCTCTTGTCAATGAAAATGATATGCGTCCATGTGATACCATCGGTCATATACAGGTAGGCCTCCTACAACGCGGTACCTTTACAACGCGTTTTCGCTCCAACGCGGTTGGAAAAATGCGGAAATTTTCTTACAACACGGTTTACGGTATTTAGAAACGAATTATCTTCACACAACAGAAAAATCGCAACGGATCACGTGATACGAGCCGCAGTTCGGCATACTGAGCTAAAAGTCTTTGAAAACAGCTGTTTGTGGACGTTGGCATGTTATTCCCTTGAAAGTTTCAGGGAAAGACCGGTTTCTAGACAGATGTGCATCAGTTACCTTAAACACTCAAATATATCACTAAATTTTCGATCATTTATACTCTTTCAATAAGTGGGGACCGCAGAAATGGTCCAAAATACAGTATAAACTTCTATTGGGTGTATATTTTTAACAACATAGTGAAAGGAAGTTATTGTTTGCGATTTTTACTGTCCACAAAACTGATTGAAAAAATTTTAGCCATAACAATGCCGAATGAAAAGAAAGGACAGGCGATAAAAAGGAAATTTATAATTCTTCAAACAAAGATAGAAATTTTGGATCGAATTAAATATCAAGAGCGGCTAGCTGATATCGGTAGGCATTTTAATCTAAATGAGTCGACGATTCGGTCGAGAGAAAAGATCAGAAATTTGGTCGCATCCAGATCATCTATTCTTGCGAAAAATGTTGCTGGTCGGAGAGCATCTATAATGGAAAAAATGGAACAAGCTCTAATATTATGGGTAGAAGATATGAACAAAAAACGGTTGCCTTTAAATAAAACTGCACTTAAACACTTAAAGTCTTAAAAATATTTGATTATTTAAAACAAATGGGACAGTCGTCAGCTGATGAAACCAGTGTTAAATTCGTGGCTAGCAATGGCTGGTTTCAAAAATTCAAAAAACACCATTCAAACGCCAAGTTTTTCTCTTTTTAGAACCGAATCCCAGTTTTTGTATTAAGTTGGTGTCTTCTAAAACGAGATTTCCCACAACGCGGTATTTTCAAGGAACGTATCTACCGCGTTGTAGGAGGCCTACCTGTACATAGTATCTACTGTAGACTACAGTTTATAATTATTTATTTGTATTATTGTTTAATGGTTATAATATTGAACCATTAAACTTTTTATATTTACCACATTTAATTTTCCAAATTATTTCTTTTCAGAATGAAACAAGCGGTTATGGCAAACGTAACATTTCCAATAACAGAACCATTTCAATTTGAAAAACAAATCAATGCAACAGAAGAGATTGAATACACGAAAAATACATGGCATTATAATATATATTATTCTATCGTTTATTTAGTAGTTATATTTAATTTAAGATCATACATGAAGGAAAAAGAAGCTTTCGAACTGAAGTATTTACTCACTTTTTGGAATTTTGCAATGGCATTTATCAGCATATTTGCTACTGTTCGTATGTTACCCGGATATTTACATCTGGTATGGGATTTTAGCATGGCCTTCTCTATCTGCGATCAAAATTATGGTTTGCAAATGAATGCTTCCGTATTTTGGGGATGGCTTTTTAAGATTCTTAAAAATATCGAATATGGTGACACTGTGTTTATTGTGTTACGTAAAAGAAAACTCACCTTTCTTCATTACTATCATCATGCTCTAACTGCAATCATCACAGCTTTCGCTATTGCCAACAGACTTCCTATTGGTCATGGATTTATTGTTGCCAATTATTTTGTTCATTCGCTTATGTATACATATTACACATTGACTGCTTTAAATATAAAAATACCAAAATATTGTAGCATGGCATTGACTTCTATACAAATTCTTCAAATGCTATATGGTTGCTTTCTGTGTTATATGGCATTTTATTTCCGAGCGTTTAGAGATGATTGTAGATTTCCTTTAAGACCAATATTTATTATTATTGTAATGTATGTTTCGTATTTTTTCTTATTTGCGCGATTCTTTTATGTCAATTATGTTTGTTCTAAAAAGAACAAAAAAGAATAAACTATGAATTAAAGTAATTTGAACAACAAATAACCTACTTTTTCTCGTAATCAAATTCTTGTCTTCGAAACAGGTTAATAATACAGTCACCTTTGATATAGCGTCATTGTTGTTTGCCTCAAAATTGGCATAATCAGCTTTGGTACTAAACTGAAATATCTCAAGTAATAAAAATTATACATAGCAACGAGTAGGAAAAATATAAAGTCACGTAATTTGGTACATTCTCATTGCAAACTACATGATAACATGAAGTTTGCAATGCAAAATCGTACATTCAGTGCTTCACAGATACTGAAGGCTTTCTCTATTTGGTATTTAAAGGAAAAATCCGTTTAGAGGTATTCTTTCACGCTTTCTGAGAATGACGCTATT